CTCAGCTGGAGACTTTATATTGCTTCTCTAATTACAGTCTGTGATAATTGCAGCCATTTATTTTCCAAGGTTGCTTCACCGGGTGCATTTACATGGCCGGTAAAATCAGATTACCAGAATAATCAGATAACCCCATAATAAGATCTGACTTGGTGTGTGTTTACAGCTCAGGAGAAATCTGAGAAACACCAGGTGACACGTGTGAGTGAAGCATTTTTAGGGCTGGGGATCTTTAAGAAGTTGCTGATACGATACATACCTCGATACAGTGAGCTTTTGATTCAATAAGATATATTTTAAATTGATTGAATCTTTGTTCTTGTGCAAAGTGAAAATGAAACACGCATCTTTTTACCATCAAAACAGTGAAAATGTCAAATGTGGGCCTGGTCAAGCAGAAGTAAACAACAAGGCCAAAAATTCAAGTTAATGCATCTGATATAAAAATGTATTGAACAGATACATATGTACTCTAGTTTATGAAACTGTTTACCTTTTTTCTGTTCCATTTTTGGTTCTAAAGTTACATATGTTTTAAACAGACCATGTATGAAACATGGAACAAAAATTATTTCCCAAATTTCAAAGACCTGCAAATCATGTAAATAAATGGATGTATTTCATCATATCTTGTGTTATTTGATCTTTGAACTGTTGATGAAGGTACATGATTTTTTTTTTTTAAATGTATTTAAAATGATAAAAATTAGCTTGGAAGGACTGACATATTTTATAGAAATAGTTTCCTTTCATTTTGAAGTAATATTAAAGTATTCAGAAGAAAAAAGCGACAAATTATGTAAAATCCTGCACCTTCTACTTGTTTGCACAATTTTCCCTCCGTTACTTTTCCCTCCGTTACCATGAAAAATCTCTTACTCAAAAAGTGAATAAATCTTGTACCATATGGTAGAAAACTATATGAAGCAAATATTCAAACCAGTTTGTTAAGGATATGTAAGTGAGAACCAAGAGTTATCACTGTTTGTATTTATTGCCCAAAAAGTGCTGCATATTTCATTCCCTCCGTTACCGACATGAGTTTTTAAATTTTGTGTCAACAACTTGAAAGAATATCACAGGTTTAACTTGACCCTGTTGGAGTGTAACTCTTTCCTACATTCTGATACTTTACTTATTTCAATAGTCCCTCTAGTTTCTGAATAAGAGACATTTGAATGTAAAAAATCTGCCCCTGTTTCCCTCCGTTAACACTTGACGGACTCATGTGTCGCATAAACAAGTTTCCTTCCTCTATCTGTATCTGTACTGAAGTAGATTATAAAGTACTTTTTACTTTTACTTCACTACATTTGAGAGCAGGTATCTGTACTTTCTGCTCCACTACATTTTTGAACAGGACTGAAAAGTAAAAGTATTTTTTATTATTGTTTGGGATCTGCTGAAAAGACTTAAAGGTTTATTTTTAACACGTTCATAATTTGAGCAAAAACAAATCGACAACTGGGAAGGGAAAGGAGAAGGAAAGATCGATTCAAATGTTTCTGTTGGACAAATTTCAGCATAAATGTTTAATTCCACTTTAGCATCTAAAGCAGACTAAACCAGGACTGATCCAGGACTAAACCAGGACTGATCCAGGACTAAACCAGGACTGAACCAGGACTGAACCAGGAGGACTAAACCAGGACTGAACCAGGACTGAACCAGGAGGACTAAACCAGGACTGATCCAGGACTAAACCAGGACTGGATCCAGGACTAAACCAGGACTAAACCAGGACTGAACCAGGAGGACTGACTGACCAGGACTGAACCAGGACTGAACCAGGAGGACTGATCCAGGACTGAACCAGGACTGATCCAGGACTCCAGGACTGAACCAGGACTGATCCAGGACTGAACCAGGAGGGACTAAACCAGGACTGATGAACCAGGACTGAATCCAGGACTGAACCAGGAGGACTAAACCAGGACTGATGAACCAGGACTGAACCAGGACTGAGGACTGAACCAGGACTGACTCAGGACTGAACCAGGAGGACTAAACCAGGACTGATCCAGGACTGAACCAGGAGGACTAAACCAGGACTGATCCAGGACTGAACCAGGACTGAACCAGGACTGATCCAGGACTGAACCAGGAGGACTAAACCAGGACTGATCCAGGACTGAACCAGGAGGACTAAACCAGGACTGATCCAGGACTGAACCAGGACTGATCCCAGGACTGAACCAGGAGGACTAAACCAGGACTGAACTAAGACTAAAACAGGACTGAACCAGGACTAAACAAGAACTAAACCAGTGTATGTCAGGACAGACCCGGAGGTGCGCTCATGTGGGCCGCCAGGTGACCGCAGGTGAAAGGACCAGCACAGAGCTACGTGCCTCACGGGACTAAGCGCAGCCGTCGCTCAATCGAGCTTTGAGGACACCCTGCTCCATGGGCTTGGGGTTCTCCCTCTCTCTCAGGTCCTAGATTAGACCTGGTTTAGACCTGGTTTAAGTCCTGGTTTAGACCTGGTTTAGACCTGGTTTAAGTCCTGGTTTAGACCTGGTTTAAGTCCTGGTTTAGACCTGGTTTAAGTCCTGGTTTAGACCTGGTTTAAGTCCTGGTTTAAGTCCTGGTTTAGACCTGGTTTAAGTCCTGGTTTAGACCTGGTTTAGTCCTGGTTTAGACCTGGTTTAAGTCCTGGTTTAGACCTGGTTTAGACCTGGTTTAAGTCCTGGTTTAAATCCTGGATTAAGTCCTGGTTTAGACCTGGTTTAAGTCCTGGTTTAAGTCCTGGTTTAGACCTGGTTTAAGTCCTGGTTTAAACCTGGTTTAGACCTGGTTTAAGTCCTGGTTTAGACCTGGTTTAAGTCCTGGTTTAGACCTGGTTTAAGTCCTGGTTTAGACCTGGTTTAAGTCCTGGTTTAGACTTGGTTTAGACCTGGTTTAGACTTGGTTTAGACCTGGTTTAAGTCCTGGTTTAAGTTCTGGTTTAGTCCTGGTTTAAGTCCTGGTTTAGACTTGGTTTAGACCTGGTTTAGACCTGGTTTAGACTTGGTTTAGACCTGGTTTAGACCTGGTTTAGACCTGGTTTAAGTCCTGGTTTAGACCTGGTTTAAGTCCTGGTTTAGTTCTGGTTTAGTCCTGGTTTAGACTTGGTTTAGACCTGGTTTAAGTCCTGGTTTAGTTCTGGTTTAGTCCTGGTTTAGACCTGGTTTAAGTCCTGGTTTAGACCTGGTTCAAGTCCTGGTTTAAGTCCTGGTTTAGACTTGGTTTAGACCTGGTTTTAATCCTGGTTTAGTTCTGGTTTAGTTCTGGTTTAGTTCTGGTTTAGTTCTGGTTTAGTTCTGGTTTAGTTCTGGTGATCTATTGATATTCAGTGATGTTAAAAGTCATCATTTATGAATGCACTTTAAAAAAAAAAAATGAAAATACAATATTAAAAAAATATATTATCAGTTGTTAATGAAACTGATGTCTTTACCTGCTCTTTACCCAATTTGAAAAAGGTGCATTGTGTAACTTTTCTGGTGGAGGGTCAGTCAAATGCTTTTCTCCATGGAGATGTTATTACTTTGTCTGGAATGTTTCACAGTGTGGCATTAAATCTTTCTATCTTCACGGAGCCCAAACCAGACCAGGTTACAGGTCAGATCTGTGGAGAGGCGATCCCGCTCGCAGCCAGAATGTCAGTTTTTCTAGGTCTTTCTGAGCTATAAAACCACCAGATCGACGACATCTCCGCGGAAAGAAGCGACAGACCCCCAACCGAAAAGTTACGAAGTGCAGCTTTAACTCTTTCCCCCCTGGACGCCTACCAAGAACAACCCATACATATGTTACTAGTTCTGCCCATAGAGCATAACTGCATAAAAGAAAACAGACTTCCACGAGTGATTATAAATGATTTTTACACTCATGAACTTAATTGTAACACAGACATATTTGTATCTCTGGAAACCTTAGACTCTGAACTATTCATTTATGGATGTTTAAATGTGATTCAACTCATTTATAGGTGTATAACAGCTCACTGAAAATGAGAGTTTACCTGGTCAGGTGCAAAATCGAAAACAAAAAAACTACATTCAGCATTTGATATCTGCATGTTCTGAGTACTATATTCATAAAAAAATAAAATATATACTTTGTCAAAGTATTTAAACAGATTTCATATCACCAGATACAGTACAGCCAAGTGTGCACCTGTTTTTACCTGTTGTTCACCTGTGTGCACCCAATTACATTTTTTTTCCATTTAACTTATTCAACTTATTTTATTTATTCAACTCATTTAGCTTATTATAATATAATAATATAATAATAAAAACTCTTCCCCGTCAGTGTGTGTCCAGTATTTGTCATCTTGGTTTATTTTCTCGTGTGCAGAGCTCCACATAAGTGTTTTTTCTGTAGCGATTCTGTTATACATCGCATCTTGGAAAAAAAGACTGAAATATTTTAAAGGACTGGCCTGGGCAACATCCAGATTTCAGGGCAATTTTGGTTCATAATCGAGTATAAAGCTCAGATAGTTTGTTTGGACATCGCAGGACTCCACACAGACGCATCAGCGGCATTCTCACCTTCTCCCCGAAAGTCCGTCGCTATCGCTGTTTTCCACTTTATAATCAACTTCAACATCATCACTTTGAAATCTATATAAAAGTCACTTTCTCTAAACTTATCCATAAAATACGTCCGCTCCTCATTATTTCTAAAACTGTGCTCCGCAGCGCCGCGATCTTTCCATTGCTCGTGTTTCGTGTTGTGTTTTTTCCGGAAGCTACCATCGTCACTACTTTGATTAACTTCGGAAAAAATCGTCGAAAACATATCCTTGAATCCTATTGGTCAGTCTAGTGTGGGTTGTAGTGGCCCCCAACGATCACAGTCTCTGTTTAAATGTGAAAAACCGAGCCGTTTCTAAAGGTCGTCAAATCTCGTCTTTAGTGATACGGCGGAGGTGTCAAAAGTCGTCATTAAGGGTTCAGGGGGGTCGTCAAATGTCGTCTTCATGGGGGAAAGAGTTAAAGCGTGCGTACCGTGACACAGACGACGGGGTACCCAGCGGGCGGGCTCTGGTCCCTGGAGCCGTCTGCGTGGTCGTACTGGAGCAGGGACAGGACTGTGGGCACGGAGGGGAAGGTCACGTCCGCCATGCTGTTGCTCTCCTCGATGTAGATGATGGCTTTACTCAGCTGAGAAGTCACAAACAAAGAGATTAAAGCTCCAATGTTACGCAAAATTTACTCTTTCATTGGTTCATTCGTTTTTCAATATAAAACCAAAAATAAGAAAACGAAAAAACAACTATTTTCTTCATTATTTGTCTCCAAAACCAACATGACAAAACAGATAATGATTTGTTTTTTCAGTTTTCGATTTTGTGTTTAAATGAAGAATGTCCTGGTCTGGTCCCGATCTCAGTCCCCTTCTGGTCCCGGCCTCAGTACTGGCCTGGTCCCGGTCTCAGTCCCCTTCTGGTCCCGGTCTCAGTCCCCTTCTGGTCCCGGCCTCAGTACTGGCCTGGTCCCGGTCTCCATCAGGGTCTGGTCCCGGTCTCAGTCCTGGCCTGGTCCCGGTCTCAGTCCTGGCCTGGTCACAGTCTCAGTCCTGGCCTGGTCACAGTCTCAGTCCTGGTCTGGTCCCGGTCTCCATCAGGGTCTGGTCCGGTCTCAGTCCTGGCCTGGTCCCGGTCTCAGTCCTGGCCTGGTCACAGTCTCAGTCCTGGTCTGGTCCGGTCTCCATCAGGGTCTGGTCCCGGTCTCAGTCCTGGCCTGGTCCCGGTCTCAGTCCTGGCCTGGTCCGGTCTCAGTCCTGGCCTGGTCACAGTCTCAGTCCTGGTCTGGTCCCGGTCTCCATCAAGGTCTCATCAAGGTCTGGTTACGGTCTCAGTTCTGGTCTGGTCCCGGTCTCCATCAGGGTCTGGTCCCGGCCTCAGTACTGGTCTGGTCCCGGTCTCAGTCCTGGTCTGGTCCCGGCCTCAGTACTGGCCTGGTCCCGGTCTCAGTCCTGGCCTGGTCACGGTCTCAGTCCTGGTCTGGTCCCGGCCTCAGTCCTGGTCTGGTCCCGGCCTCAGTACTGGCCTGGTCCCGGTCTCAGTCCTGGCCTGGTCACGGTCTCAGTCCTGGTCTGGTCCCGGCCTCAGTACTGGCCTGGTCCCGGCCTCAGTACTGGTCTGGTCCCGGTCTCAGTCCTGGTCTGGTCCCGGCCTCAGTACTGGCCTGGTCCCGGTCTCAGTCCTGGCCTGGTCACGGTCTCAGTTCTGGTCTGGTCCCGGTCTCCATCAGGGTCTGGTCCCGGCCTCAGTACTGGTCTGGTCCCGGCCTCAGTACTGGCCTGGTCCCGGTCTCAGTCCTGGCCTGGTCACGGTCTCAGTCCTGGTCTGGTCCCGATCTCAGTCCTGGTCTGGTCCCGGTCTCCATCAGGGTCTGGTCCCGGCCTCAGTACTGGTCTGGTCCCGGTCTCAGTCCTGGCCTGGTCACGGTCTCAGTCCTGGTCTGGTCCCGGTCTCCATCAGGGTCTGGTCCCGGTCTCAGTCCTGGCCTGGTCACGGTCTCAGTCCTGGTCTGGTCACGGTCTCAGTCCTGGTCTGGTCCCGGTCTCCATCTGGGTCTGGTCCCGGTCTCCATCAAGGTCTTCATCAAGGTCTGGTTACGGTCTCAGTTCTGGTCTGGTCCCGGTCTCCATCGAGGTCTGGTCCCAGCCTCAGTACTGGCCTGGTCCCGGTCTGGTCCCAATCTGGTCCTGGTCTCAATCACTGTCTGGTCCGGGTCTGGTCCCAGCCTCAGTCCTGATCTCATTCTGGTCCCGGTCTGGTCCTGGTCTCAGTCCTGGTCTCAGTCTGGTCCCGGTCTGGTCCACGTCTCAGTCCTGGTCTCAGTCCTGGTCTCAGTCCTGGTCTCAGTCTGGTCCCGGTCTGGTCCCGGTCTGAGTCCTGGTCTCAGTCTGCTCCCGGTCTGGTCCACGTCTCAGTCCTGGTCTCAGTCCTGGTCTCAGTCCTGGTCTCAGTGTGGTCCTGGTCTGGCCCCCGTCTCAGTCCTGGCCTGGTCCCGGTCTAGTCTCGGTCCCGGTCTGGTCCCGATCTGGTCCCGGGCTCAATCACCGTCTGGTCCTGGTCTGGTCCGAGCCTCAGTCCTGGTCGCAGTCTGGTCCCGGTTTGGTCCCGGTCTCAGTCCTGCTCCTGTTCCAGGTCCTGTTCCTGGTCTCAATCCTGGTCTCAGTTCTGGTCTGATCCCGGTTTCCGTCCTGGTCTCGGTCCTGGTCTGGGTCCCAAACCTGGTTCAGTCCGTATGCGGCGCAAAAGTTCGACATCGCAGTTTAAGTCACGTGAACGAGAAACAAACATGATCCGTTTTTTCCATTTTTCATTTAAACACAAAATTGAAAACTGAAAAAACAAATCATTATCTGTTTTTTTATTTTGGTTTTGGAGACAAATAATGAAGAAAATAGTTGTTTTTTCGTTTTCTTATTTTTGGTTTTATATTGAAAAACGAATAAACGAATGATACACGGATTTTTAGGCCACGTTAGAATGTTGTTTTGTAGTTTTGTTTCACGAAAAAACAACCCCAGGTCTGTTTGTGATGAGGAAACATTCTCACATAGATCAGAAAATAACACGAATGGACGTTTAAAAACAAGCTGTGGACATACTGAGAAATTCAAAAGCAGCGGGACTGAAAATCAATAGCGATGTGACTTTTGGCTCTTTTATGGGATCGGATCTTTTTGATCTGTTCATTTCAAAGAGCCGTTCAAAAGACGGGCTCTTTTTATATTTATTTACATGACAGAAGCTAATGTGAGAACTCATTTAATCTACAAACTATTCACAGAGAGCGATAACCCAAGGCTCAGATCTGTTTAAAATAGTTCAAACTGAGAGTGGGAGTCAGTTCACCCTTTGGATTTATGCATGTTCTAAATAAAACTTTGCACTACAGTAATAATGATTTAAAAACGAACTGTGTTTTTGATAGGAATGTAACAATAACCAAAATATCCTGACATCGTATCGTCAGAAGTCTCATAATAATATCGTGGACCATCACAATACGTCGAATCTCAAGTCTCTTTGTTTAAATTCATTGTTACGGTGCAGCAGTAGGCGAGTTTCATTGTTGCATGCTGGGAATTATTTTGGTCGGCGGCAAGAAACACTAATTCAACATGACGGACGGAGCGAGAAAGCACGTAAAGGGTATTGATCCCGGTTATTTATCCACTCTAACGACAGAGGACCCAAGACGATTTGACCAGAAATTGGTCATAAGCATCGATGGAGCCAAATCACCCTTTTCAACCCCGACAAAAGGTGGACCAAACCAAATTTCTGGTCAGAATCGCCAACTACCTGGACAAATATTCACTTCGGCGATATCCACAATGACTTGGTGGAAACTCCTGGGCCATTCACAGCAGAAAAGATGAAAACCTCCAAGAGTCTCGATGTGTTGTTGAACTTGTTGGAGTCCACGGTTTGTTAGGATCTTCTACGTTTGCTCTGCAATGTTTGAAAGTCGTTTAATTCACCGTTAGCGGTTCTTTTCACTCAGAACACGAAAAAGACATTTTCCTTCTTCCGTGCTTCTATTTCTGCATCCGATAATGCAGCAGGAATTTACCATTATCGGGATAAATACGCGAGGTTACGCACTGTGTTTGACGCTATCGTGTTTCTTGCCTCCGACCAAAATATTTCCCAGCAGCAACGCGGGCTTTTAATAACAATGACGTCAGCTGAAACTTGCCTATAGCAAAAAGAAAGAGGGAACTACATAGACCATGATCCTTTGCTCTGTTTTAGTCCAGTTTACACAATGAAAGCGTTATTAAGAACTTTTAAATCTTAACTCTTGGTTTAGGACAGAACCAAAGACTTGTGAAGGCATTTTTAAAGGAAAAGTCGCATATTTACAGTTTTGTTAGTCTCTACAAAATATCATAATAAATATTGTACCGTGAGATGCGTGTCGTGAAAATATCATATAAAGAAATGTGGATAGTGTCACATCTCTAGTTTTTGGTAGAGTGCTTTTCCTTTAACCACCTTTATTCATTTTGCATTTGGATCAAAACACTGTGTAATAGGCTATGTTCAGGCTGCAGGGTTCAAAGCACAATTCAGATTTTTTGGTGAAATCTGATATTTTTGCGAGGCTGTTCACATTTCCAATTAAATCCGACTTGTATGTGAACTCCAGTGTGAACTTTAAACGCCCCAAAAGTGTCCTGCATGCACACTGGAGGACACGACGATGTCATACGAAGCGAGCGTGCTCAGTGTTTACGGAAGTCACATAAAAACTGGGTTTGTCTCCCAAAATACGGTCCAGTTCTTCGTAAAATGGACAAGTTACACGTCCACGGCCACTTTGTTTGTTTGAGTCTTTAGCCTCCTTGTATTTGGATCGCAGGCTCTTTATTTTTCATTGAAATTGGAGCCAGGACCGACTGTAGCTGCGAAATCATTTTTTAAAAAAAACACCCGGTTCCGACCCCTTCAATTTGGCCTGAATACAACGATTCCCCCAAATATGAATAAACTCGCCAATCTCGTTTTTCCTCCATTAACTAGACTCTGAGCCTGATGTGTAGGTGAGATGAATGTGACCTGACCGTTCAGACTGAAGTCGCGTGTCAAAAGATCGGATATGTATCGGTTTTAGGAGAACATTTCCAAGTGGCCTGGGTCACATTTGAAAAAATCTGATCTGTGTCGTCACGTAGGGGTGAAAAAATTGGATTTGGGTCACTTCAGGCTGCAGTCTGAACGTAGGCCTTTTAACAACATAGTAGGTGTTATTAAATGGTAAACTGGTCAGACTTTTATACGGTGCTTTTCCACATTCAAGACACTCGGACGGTTTTAGTAATTACAATTTATGTAAACTAATGAAAGCTAAGAGAACGTCTGGTTAGTGTTGGCAGTTCAGAGTCGTTGATATTGTTTGATATTTCATGCTAATGTTTGATAATCTTTCAATTGTGGATGTTTCATTGTGTTTTAATCCATGTTTGAATCAAAAGAATTTAATCCATGGTGTTTAAATGTCATTTTTCTATATATATATACATTTTTATGCACAATGATAATGTAAAATTTTTTATGTATTCATAAGGTGGAGGCTTTGATATAAGCCCTATTGGGTTTTTTGCCTCTTCCGGCACCTACTTTTTATCTAGTGTGTTTCTTTTTATTGTCATGTTATATGTGCAAAATAAATAAATAAATAAATAAACAATATAATATTCTGAATGTAAAAGAAACAGAGAACACATGATCCTTTGCTCTGTTTCAGTGCTTAATAACAATGAAAAAACTGATATTAAGCACTTTTAAATCTTAACTCTTTGGTTTATGACAGAACCAAAGACTTGCCAAGGCATTTTTAAAGGAAAAGTAACATTATTGCAGCATTTTGTGACAGTTTTAGCCTCTATAAAATATCGCAATAAACACTGTATTGTGAAATGCATATCATGAAAATATCGCACTGAGAAATGAACATAAAATTAAATAAAAATCTTCTTTCTGCTCCTTTTCATTTCTTGTATGTTTGATGTTGTGACACTGTTGATGCTTTTTATACTTTATGAATGAAATAAATAAACAAATAAATAAATAAATAAGAAATTCAGATAATGTCACATCTCTAGTTTTGGTCGAGAGCTTCAACCTTCAACCACCTTCATCAAAACATTGTGTAATATTGGCCTTTTAACAATGTAGTAGATGTTGTTAAATGGTAAATGATCAGATTTTTATACAGCGCTCTTCCACCTTGATACATGTCAACAAATGAAAGCTAACAAAACAATAAAATGTTCTAAAAAGTAAGTTGTGTGGTTTACCTCAAAGCTTCACCATGATCTCTTTAGACGTTTATGACCACGACTAATCCTCGGTAATTCTCTTGAGTAGTTAAATGTTAAAATGGAAACTAAAAAGCTCACCTTTGTCTCAGCGACCATGTTCTCGTCGGGTCTGAGGTGCACAGTGAAGGCCTCTCTCATCTCCCTCACCCCGTCGTACAGAACCTCCACCTCCACGTAGTGCACCGTCTCTCCGTCTTTGAACACGATCTCTGAAAAAGACCGAAAATGTCGTTTAACGCAGCCCGCGACTCGCCTTTTGTTAAACACTTTACAATACAGGCAGTCACAAAGAATAATACAAAGCTATAAAACAAAAAACAACAAAAGACTAACAGTATTTTCCGGGCTATTAGACGCACTCTTAAGCCTCTAACTCCATCAAAAAACGACCGCGCGCCGCAATCCAGAGCGCCCCATACACGAATCCACTCAGGTGTCCCAGCACGACTTCAGTAAACTACAAAGCCGCACCACCCGCAGCCAGTGTTGGGAAGGTGACTTTTAAAATGTATTCCCCTACAAATTACAGATTACAGACCCCAAAATGTAGTTTGTAACGTAATCCATGAAATTACTTAAAGTGAATAACGTAATCTGAATACTTTGGATTACTGGATATTGTCATGGTTTTTAAAACGACATGAATGTACCGACCACATCCTGAAAATTCTTGTTTGTTCTTTTCAAATTGTCTGTTGAGCCCAAGTCTCCATGAACAGGTAATTTTTTGCTGTAGAGAAGCAAAGAGTAGGATATCTGAACATAAATAGTTTTTATCTGCTAAAAGAAAAATAAAAAGTCCAGTCTTTCCTTAACCATATTAAAAATATTGATAGAGAAATGATTTTTATATGAAATCACTGCTGCCTTCAATTATGTCCACCCTAATGTTATTAATAAAATAAAATAAAATCACTTTCAGTACAAACAGAAAGGCGCCAGCCCAGTAAAAATCTGTAATATTTGATGTTTTTTATTCAAAATGATGCAGAATCAGATTCTTAACAATGACAATTACTAACGACATCGTCCATTGTGTGACTGACGCCACCAACGTTAACAAGACGTTTACGTGGCTCTTACTGCCGCATTCTGTTTCTGACAATGAGCGGAATTATCGAAATAAAACAAAAAAATGGGATATAGCCCAAAATGTGAAAACAGTAAAATACCGCCATGTAATCCATTTATTTTAACAAAGTAACTGTAATCCAATTACCACTCACTGAAACAGTAATTTGTACTCTGATTACGTAACTCCAGTACATGTAATCTGTTACTCCCCAACACTGCCCGCAGCGCACACAAACACACACGGAGCAGACAGCGAAAGCACAGCGAAAAACACCCGCAGACACACTCATCCTTCCACGCCGACGAGGAACGGAACGGAGGAACGAACCGAAAAAGCGAGTGCAACGTGCCACTTCTAGACACAACTGAACAACTGAGTCACTGCGAACACGCCGACAATCCAGCGGTCCCAGACAGCACCTCCCTACACGCCACAACTGAACAAAGCCCAGAGTCACCGTGAACGCCACAAACAAACAAAAACCACTGACCCATCACACTGTTGTGTTTCGTTAAGTCCAGTGCGGTTTATTTGTGAAAAAAGTTTGAAAATAGACCATTTAATGACAGTGCGTCTTATAATCCAGAGCGCCTAATAGTGCCCGGAAAATACGGTATTCAATAAAATCTATAACTGTGTGTATGTGTTAAATATTATACAATGTAATTTCTGGACCATAGTCTGTATAAAGAAGTGGACTCAGTGAGTGTGACGTCACCAGTGTTGGGAATAACGGTGCTACTTACAGTGCTACATTTTTGGTAATGGAGTAATCATATTAATTACACTCTCCATAGTTACAACACTGTTATCGTAACAGGGAAAACAATGTGGCACGTTACAGTTGGGTTGAAAGAGGCGCCGCGGTGTCAGGCTTCATGCAGCGGACAGACAAACATCATCAGCAGAAGAGAGGAGAGCGAAGGACGGAGCAGGGACAACGTGATTGGCTAAAAAGTTGGGTGGGCGGAGTCTCTGCTCACGCTGCCTTGTTGTTTCTTTCCCACACACTTCAGTTAAATTAGATAAACTCAATGACGAGCCAAGGACATTCAAAGGCAGCGTTTTCATACTGGAAATACCGACAATATTTCTCCCTCATTGAAATAAAGGGCAAGAATGTGTATGTTAAATGTAACTGTGTCCTGGGGAAAAAAAAAAAGTCGAACGCGTCGAACTTGAGTCTAATGAAGCGCCTCATACCGTGACATTCAACACGCCTCTCGATGCTGTTAACCCCGGCCCCCGGTGCAGAAGTGAAGATGGAGATGGAGCCACTGTATTAAAGTCAAACTCGATTTTTCAGACAATTGTACATATGAAAAATAACTAGATAATTACTTTGCTAAGTAATTGATTACTTTTACAGCATCGTCACTGAGTTATTAACTCAGTTACTTTATGGGGAATGGTTTGTAATGGTAACTAATTACTTTTATAAAGTAAAATGCCCAACACTTGTCAGCAATAGCATTCAGCACAGTCAAATGAAGCTTATCGAGGCCGGTAGTTATAGGAGTGAATTTGAAGCCGCGTTACATATTACAAACAGTGTTGGGGAGTAATGGATTACTTGTACCAGAGTTACGTAATCAGAGTACAAATTATGAGTAACTGTATTCAGTTACAGTTTCTGTTTAAGTGAGTGGTAATTAGATTACAGTTACATGGTTGAAATAAATGGATTACATAGAGGTATTTTCCTGTTTTCACTTTTTTTTTTTTTTTTTTTTTTTGGTAATTCCACTCATTGCCGGACACTAAAGCAGGACTAAACCAGGTCTAAAACCAGGTCTAAACCAGATCTAAACCAGGACTAAACCAGGACTAAAACCAGGTCTAAACCAGATCTAAACCAGGACTAAACCAGGACTAAAACCTGGTCTAAACTATGTCTCAAACAGGAGTTAACAGGACTAACTCATGCTGCATGGACCGTGTCTCCTCCTCTTCTATCAATAATATTTTTAATTTGGTTCAGTAAAGTCTGGGCTTTTTTATTTTCTTTTAGCAGACAAAACATCTTATGTGAAGATTTCCTAGTCTTTGCTTCTCTACAGCAAACCAAGTAATCCAAAGTATTCAGATTATGTTACTCACTTTAAGTAATTTAATGGATTACGTTACAAACTACATTTTGGTGTATGTAATCTGTAATCTGTTAAAAGTAACCTTCCCAACACTGATTACACATAGGAATTTATTTATACAGACAAAGCAGCTAAATAAAAACACCAGGGTTCAGGGAGTGACCTTTCAGATCAGAATGTTATCTATGTTATACTCCTACCTTGTTATATGTGGTATACTGTGTCGTACTCTTACCCTGGGATATGTTTCATACTGTGTTGTACTCTTACCCTGGGATATGTTTCATACTGTGTTGTACTCTTACCCTGGGATATGTTTCATACTGTGTTGTACTCTTACCCTGGGATATGTTTCATACTGTGTCGTACTCTTACCCTGGGATATGTTTTATACTGTGTTGTACTCTTACCCTGGGATATGTTTCATACTGTGTTGTACTCTTACCCTGGGATATGTTTTATACTGTGTCGTACTCTTACCCTGGGATATGTTTTATACTGTGTTGTACTCTTACCCTGGGATATGTTTCATACTGTGTCGTACTCTTACCCTGGGATATGGGGTGGTAGTCCTCTCCGGAGGTGGCAGATCCGTCCTTGGTGTGCACCCGGACCACGGACACTTTGGAGGTGTCCCCCAGACGCTGCACTGGGACCCTGAGCACGGACACCTGCCCACTCTCCCGGGGCTCGCTCACACTGAACTTGGTCTCTCCAAAACGGATGATGGACTCTGAGGAACACACACAGTAATATAACTATAACTACTTCATTATACTTTTACAATGCACTTTTACATTATGACATTAAACAGCTCTACTTTACATTTATTAATTTACAAGTGGTTTTATAGCTCAAAAATGCTTAGAAAAACATTTTGACTGTGAGTGGGGTCGCCTCTTCACAGATCTGACTTATAATTTGATCTGATTTGGTCTCCATGATGATAGAAAGGTTTAATGCAATACTGTGAAATATTTCAGACAAAGCAGTAACATTTCCATGGACAAAAGCATTTGACCTTCACCAGAAAAGTTACACCATGCACTTTTACTAACTATGCTCAACTTAGTAATATTTTTACAATACATTAGGATAGAAGAGAGTCAGCTGAATAATTAAAATGCATTAAAGGTTTTTTGTCCAATTATAGGCATTTTAATTCGGCCTGGTGGAAATACATCTCCATGGAGACCGGGAGCTTTCAAAACCTTCACTAGAAAAGTTACCTGTGCACCAAAGCAGCACTGGCAAAAGTCATTTCTGCTTAGAAGAATACTGAATACTGATCTGAAGTGTGCAGTTTTGAATACTAGATTACTGAGTTGGTCAGTATTATTTGATGCTTTTAGAGCAGACATGTCAGACTCAGGCCCGGGGGCCATGATTGGCCCGCAAGATCATGTCAAATATGTATTAGAGCTGACCTGCCGGCTATAGATAGAGACTATATATGGAGACATTATTTATTTAAAATTTTGTTATTATTTTACATTCTGCTAGTTCTGGATTCTGTGTTTAACCAAAATAATTATTAAGTATTTATTTTAATAAGAAAAGGTTTAACATTACATATCTCAAAAAAGCGAAAACATGCAGATGTTGTTGAAAGTTTGGCCCACGACTTAGTCTCAGTTTTTAATTTAGGCCCTCTGTGAATTTGAGTTTGACACCCCTGTTCTAGAAGTTTTTACAGCTTTCCATTAATTTTCTCACTTTGTGTAAAATGTTTTATTATAATTAAATTCAAATAAAATGTAAGTTATTAAAAAGATCCTTGAAAAGTCAAATACATCATCTCCCAAAGTAAATAAACCTTGATGAAAACTATTCAAAATCTCAGAATTTTACATTTTTGTCTCATTTTGCATTTCATTTTGCCATCGTAAAATGTGCTATCCTGATTCATCAGCTGGTTTCACTTCGTAGAAATTGTCTGACCTCGCAGCATTAGGATTTGTTCGCTCGACAGTAGGCGGGTACTTTTTGTATTAAACCAATTGCTGGTATTTGGTCGTGACGTATGTAATGCCCCAAGTTCCATAGGAAGAAGGGCAATAACGTCTTTTCCCTTGATAAAATTCACCAAACATTCTCTTTGTTCCAGCTTTAAATTCTCAATCTCGAGAATCGTTGCCAACAGAGAATTATTTTATTCCTTCTTTTTATTTATTTTTTATAGTTTATTGGGTTGTTTGCATCATTGTCTGTGTCTGTTTTTGTCTGCCTTCTGTATTGTTGTATTGTTCTTTGCTGCTTGTACAGCACTTTGTAAACCTTGTTTTTAGTGCTTTACAAATAAAGATTTATTATTATTATTAGAAGGTGCCGTTCTTACTGTCTGAGTCGTCTTTGATCTTGATCAGCGTTTCGTTCTGTTTGCCCACAGATGCCCCAAATGCAGACTGGCTCTTGGCAGTGCCCAGGACCAGCCTCAGCTCCTCCTCCTCCTCGTACTCTGTGTCGTCCACGATCTCCAGGACGCAGGGTTTCTCACGCTCTCCTGCAGGGGCACACACGCACAGGTTACATTAGAATGAAAGAAAGAAGATTTTTTTATTTTATTTAAGTGTCATGAACTCAGGTGCCCATTATTAAAAAAAAAAAAAGTCTGTCTTCATAAACACAGAACACAAAATCCAACAGACTCACTATATCTCACTTCTCAGGACACAGAGTCTTTTGTCTCAATGTCCAGGCCTTGTCCACAAAGGATACCAAACAAAACAATTTATTTTAACCAATTTAACCAATATTGGCCTTCAGACAGAGGAAACAAATCAGGGTTCTAAAGAAGGACAGAAGAGCTCATTCTCTCTCATTCTCCAAACTCCAAGTGAATGCGGTTATAAAATCGGGCTTTTATCATTTGAGGCTTTTATCTTAAATTAAACCTTTTTCATCTTTTAAATCATCTGAATAGGTCACGCACGCTTTTATCTCCTCTCGTTTAGACAATTGTAATGTACTTTTTTCCAGCATTAGTCACCACACACTTTCTCATTGATGTACGCCGTTTAACTAGAACAAAAAAAACGAAAGCGCATTACCCTGATTTTAGCGTCGTTGCACCGGTTTCCAGTTCGTTTTAGAGTTGGTTTTAAGATTTTATTGTTTGTTTTTAAAGCTTTGAATGGACTGGCGCCACAAAACGTCTCGGACCTCATCTAAATTTACTCCCCCAAGGACGCTCTGAGGTCTAAGGTCCAGCTCCAACTCGTGGGGCCAAAGACGAGACTTAAATTCGGGGGGACAGGACCTTTTCTGTGGTTGGGCCTAAGCTCTGGAACGCTCTGCTCCCCCCCCACGTCCAAACAGCGCCCCTAGTGGAGTGTTTTAAGTCTCGTCTTAAAAAACGCTTTTATTATCTGGCTTTTAACACAGCGTGAATTAAGTGGTCCTCTGTGTATTTTTTATTTTACTTATTTAGGCTCAGTCCACCTCAGTTTGAGTTAAAGGTTGTATAGAGGATTTTCCAAGGAACAAGAAATCCAGCGACTGTTTGTCCTTTTTCAAATGTTGCGCATGCGTGAAACCACCCCCCCTCCCCTACAGCTCCTACGTAGAAACGCCTCCTCCCTCCTCCTCCTTACGCCAGAAACAGGTTTGTTTACAGCCGGTGCGCTGCACATGACTTGTAAACAACTAACTACAGTGTTGGTTAGGCAAGACGGAGAAGTGAGGAGCGGGGGGAGCGGGTGTGCGCGGACATTTCGTTGCGCGGACGAGAAGTGAGGAGCAGGGAGAAGAGCGGAACGGGCAGCGGGGAGAGGAGCAGGAAAGGGGTGCAGAGAAGAGTGCGCGGAGATTCAGTGCGAATGAACTAGCTACAACACGCAGCAGCAAGCGGACTCTTTCTTTGCCTTGAAAATTACGTTTTCAGACATAGGATATCGCATTTCGTGTCCTGAAAAACGTTTGTCTAGCTCTTGGAAATAAAGTACGTTTTCATAATAAGCAGAAGTTTCCTGTCCAGGAGTAATTTGGCGACCAGTGCGTTCAGTCTTTAGACCCTGCGTCTGCTTCAGTCGCGCCATCGCTGGAATGAATCTACAAGAATCACCTTAGTTTGGCTTCGCTGCTTTTCCCCTTGTCTTCTTCTTTCAGCAACCTCAAAAACGGACTTTATTTTGCGGCGAACTGCTCCTGGATTCTTGTCGCCATTGCAACAAACTTTGTGCGAACTGCGAGGAAGATATAGGTCAAAAAAAGCCGCTAAGAACTGTTGCGTTGGTGGAGTAAACAGCGTCTGTGCGGCTTGCATCTGTGGACTGTGTGACAGTCGTACGTAAACCACGTACCGGCGGCGCAGGCAAGTCAGTTACGCTAGAAACGTAGGGAGTTTGATTGACAGCCTGTCAAGCTCACAGATAACGAGGCAGTGTCGTTATCTATTGGCAAATGTTTAGCCCCACCACGTCCAGAGTTGATGAATTTTTATTCTCTTTTTTTTGGTCATCATAATTACAAGGCTACTGCATCTCTATAATCTATCATTGACAACTTGAAACAAAAAAAAAATCCTCCATACAACCTTTAAACCCTACTTTGGCAAATTTTGATGAAACTTGCTATATAGGTAAATCATAGTAAGAAAAGCCAAAATTTCAACAGTTTCCAAGATATTGTGATTTAATTTTTTCACTTTTTTCGTGGTCGCTGAATTTCAAATTGCATTTACTCAGCAACTATTGGTCAGATATCAAAAATGAAGGTGTCTTTGGAAAGGGAAAGGCATTTTTTCTTAGAGTATATCAGCTTGAACTCTGTGTGTATAAATATATAGCTGTATACACTGAATGGATATTTGGCATGTCTTAAGATGGGGGTAAGTCAACTTCTAGGTAAATTTGTGTGAAAATAAAAAAGAAAACTCCTCCAGATTTTTTATATGTTGTAATGGACGTAAAGAGCTACATTTTTTCTATTGGTGTCGTTGAGGTCGGGCGTGTCCCTTATTGTCAATTTCAAGGTCAAAATATAATAAATATAAAAAAAATACATCTCAAAAGCACTCAAATGCCAAAAAAATGCCAGATAATACTCCCTACAACTGTACAACTCATCTTTATGTAGCAGATAATACTCCCTACAACTGTACAACTCATCTTTATGTAACAGATAATACTCCCCACAACTGTACAAGAACTCACCCCTAAGTAACAGATAATACTCCCTACAACTGTACAAGAACTCACCCCTAAGTAACAGATAATACTCCCTACAACTGTACAACAACTCACCCTATGTGTAAGATAATACTCCCTACAACTGTACAACAACTCACCTTATGTAACAGATAATACTCCCTACAACTGTACAACAACTCACCTTATGTAACAGATAATACTCCCTACAACTGTACAACTCATCCTTATGTAACAGATAATACTCCCTACAACTGTACAACTCACCCTTATGTAACAGATAATACTCCCTACAACTGTACAACAACTCACCTTATGTAACAGATAATACTCCCTACAACTGTACAACAACTCACCCTTATGTAACAGATAATACTCCCTACAACTGTACAACTCCCTTATGTAACAGATAATACTCCCTACAACTGTACAAGAACTCACCCTTAAGTAACAGATAATACTCCCTACAACTGTACAACAACTCACCCCTATGTGTTAGATAATACTCCCTACAACTGTACAACAACTCACCCTTATGTAACAGATAATACTCCCTACAACTGTACAACAACTCACCCCTATGTGTAACAGATAATACTCCCTACAACTGTACAACAACTCACCCTTATGTAACAGATAATACTCCCTACAACTGTAAACTAACAGATAATACTCCCTACAACTGTACCAACTCACTAACAGATAATACTCCCTACAACTGTACAACAACTCACCCTTATGTAACAGATAATACTCCCTACAACTGTACAACAACTCAGATAATACTCCCTACAACTGTACAACAATGTAACAGATAATACTCCCTACAACTGTACCACAACTCAGATAATACTCCCTACAACTGTACAAGAACTCACCCTTATGTAACAGATAATACTCCCTACAACTGTACAGCAACTCAGATAATACTCCCTACAACTGTACCAGAACTCAGATAATACTCCCTACAACCGTACAAGAACTCACCCTTACGTAACAGACAATACTCCCTACAACTGTACAGCAACTCAGATAATACTTCCTACAACTGTACCAGAACTCAGATAATACTCCCTACAACTGTACAACAACTCACCTTATGTAACAGATAATACTCCCTACAACTGTACCAGAACTCAGATAATACTCCCTACAACCGTACAAGAACTCACCCTTACGTAACAGATAATACTCCCTACAACTGCACAAGAACTCAGATAATACTCCCTACAACTGTACAACAACTCACCCTTATGTAACAGTAACAATAACTCTATGTTCAATCATCATTTCGTTTTTCCTTTCGACCTCTTGTATGTAGCTGATATATATTTGTATTTCTATATTTTATTTTTATTTGTACATTTACATAATTGTGCCTTATACATAACCTGCTCTCCTTGGCTAAACTAAACTGAAAACAGCTGCTGGTTGGTCGTGTGCGATCCAGACCTGGGAGGAAGGTGATGATGGAGGCGTCCGTGTTGGGTCTCTCTGTGAAGTCCATCATGACCTGAGCGGATCCCTGTCGGCTGTAGCAGCGCACACTGGAGCTGTGGCTCAGGTCCCCAGAGCGCAGCACCGGCACCGAGACCTGACCCGAGCTCTCTGACACCGAGTACAGCGCCGAGCCAAACTGCATCTCAGGCACTGCGCACAAACAAACACAAACATACACACATAAGAACTGTATTTATGAGTCTTGAAGTGCGTATGACAGGTTTTTATGATGCTCTAATTTCTACTTAAAACCTGTTGTAAATATAAATTATACTTTCACATGAATCAAGAACCAATTTGCAATGAAAAGTTGAAAAATAAAACACTCTGATGGCGTCACACCGGGGAGAATTCTAAACGTTTCGCCACAATTTACACACAAGAATTACTTTTATTTGTTAGTTTAAACATTATTTCAACAAAATAAAGGTGTTTTCTTGTGTTTTAATTAAGCAAATGATAACTTCTGTGCATTTTAGAGCAGTTTTGGCCCAACGTACTTTATGGTTGCTCAATAACACTTGTGATGTCATGATTTTTAACTAGAAAGTAAAATCTCTAGCCTGGTTAGTACTTGGATAAGAGATCACAGGGAAAATCTGGTGCCACAGTGGTCGTGGTTACAGTGGTTGGTGGCGCAGATTTACAAATTTACTTAGTTTGTACTTAAGCTGCCAAACAATGATTAAGAACAGTAAATAAAGCCACTAAAACACCATCTACACAGTTTAGTGGGGGTGAAAAAAGCATTTAGTGCAGGGGTCTCCAACCTGCAGCTCAGGAGCGACCACTAACTCTCCACCACGTTCCAAGTAGCTCGCCAAAGGATTTTGGAATTATACCACTGTGCTGAAGAACAAAAATTTGGTTAATTACCAGGACTAAACCAGGACTAAACCAGGACTAAACCAGGACTGAACCTACACCGTGTCAATATCGGATTATAAATATACACATGCCGCAACTGCAGAGCTGATCGCCAGGACTACACCAGGACTACACCAGGACTGAACCAGGACTGAACCTGGAGTGAACCTGGACTGAACCAGGACTAAACAAGGTCTAAATCAGAACTAAACCAGGACTAAACCAGGTCTAAATCAGGACTAAACCAGTCTAAACCAGGTTTAAATCAGGACTAAACCAGGACTAAACCAGGTCTAAACCAAGTCTAAACCAGGTCTAAACCAGGTCTAAACCAGGTCTAAATCAGGACTAAACCAGGACTAAACCAGGTCTAAACCAAGTCTAAACCAGGTCTAAACCAGGTCTAAATCAGGACTAAACCAGGTCTAAACCAGGTTTAAATCAGGACTAAACCAGTCTAAACCAGGTCTAAATCAGGACTAAACCAGGTCTAAACCAGGTTTAAATCAGGACTAAACCAGGACTAAACCAGGTCTAAACCAAGTCTAAACCAGGTCTAAACCAGGTCTAAATCAGGACTAAACCAGGTCTAAACCAGGTTTAAATCAGGACTAAACCAGGTCTAAACCAGGTCTAAATCAGGACTAAACCAGGTCTAAACCAGGTCTAAATCAGGACTAAACCAGGTCTAAACCAGGTTTAAATCAGGACTAAACCAGGTCTAAACCAGGTCTAAATCAGGACTAAACCAGGTCTAAACCAGGTCTAAATCAGGACTAAACCAGGTCTAAACCAGGTTTAAATCAGGATTAAACCAGGTCTAAACCAGGTCTAAATCAGGACTAAACCAGGTCTAAACCAGGTTTAACCAGGTCTAAATCAGGTCTAAACCAGGACTAAAACCAGGTCTAAACCAGGTCTAAATCAAGACTAAACCAGGACCAAACCAATGTCATTAGCATAAATATATATATACGCCTCAACCACCGAGCCAATCACCAGGACTACACCAGGACTGGACCAGGACTGGAACCAGGACTAAACCAGGACTAATCCAGGACTAATCCAGGACTTAGCCAGGTCTAAACCAGGACTGAGGACTCCAGCAGTGCAGCCTCTGAGCAGATCACCTCCGCTGATGGTTTTATGCAGTAAATACACTAAAGTCTCTCTCAGCCTGGTCTGACATCGTACTGGGAAATGTCACTTGTTTCCAGGGCAACGGACGTCCTGGACACATGTCAAGTAATTTACTCCCGTTCATCGTTCATTTGATTCACCTGACCTGCCTGAGTGTAATCAGTACCTGCCTGCATACCCGACCGTAAAATTCCAGAACATTAAAACCTGCTCATTTCAGCAACTATTTGCTCTACTTTACATTTACCTCGGTGTCGGTCTCTGGACAGTGGTTTATGTTTTATAGGCACACACAGGCTCCCTCTCTTTCTAATACTCGTCTCAATTTCTGTTAAAATGAGTAGCTCTCTGGCATTTTTGTTTTGTAAAGGTAGCTCACCGGAGGAAAAAGGCTGGAGACCCCTGATTTAGAGTTTAGTTTAGTTCATTTCCATACAGATTATAAAATACAGATGAGTCTAAACCTCTCCAGTAGACTCATTTTCCACTCACAGTCAGAGATGGAGTCGTTGATGGTGACGGTGGACTTGCTCGGCTGGCCCAGGATCCCGTTCATGGGCATCCTCAGCACCAGCTCAAACTTCTCGGGGCCCTCGAGCACCGGCTGGCCCAGGTCATCCAGGATCACCACCTTCACCTTCTGCATCATCACCCCCGGAGCGAAGTCCAGGCTACGGCTGATCCCCACGTAGTCCACGCCCGCTGAAAACACACAGACAGATACAGACAAAGTGGGGAAGGGTACAAAAAAAAAAAAAAACACATAATGGTCTAAAAAGAAGTTGTTATTAAAGGTGCATTGTGTAACTTCCATTAAGTTACTGTATTTTCCGGGATATTAGGCGCTCTGGATTATAAAACGCACTGTCATTAAATGGTCTATTTTCAAACTTTTTCACAAATAAACCGCAACGGACTTTAAACGAAACACAACAGTGTGATGGGTCAGTGGTTTTGTTTGTTTGTGGCGTTCACGGTGACTCTGGGCTTTGTTCAGTTGTGGCGTGTAGGGAGGGTGCTGTCTGGGACCGCTGGATTGTCGGCGTGTTCGCAGTGACTCAGTTGTTCAGTTGTGTCAAGAAGCGGCACATTGCACTCGCTTTTTCGGTCCGTTCCTCCGTTCCGTTCCGTTCCTCGTCGGCGTGGAGCGATGAGTGTGGCTGTGGGTGTTTTGCGCTGTCTGCTCCGCGTGTGTTTGCGTGCGCTGCGGGTGGTGCGGCTTTGTAGTTTACTGAAGTCGTGCTGGGACACCCGAGTGGATTTGTGTACAGGGTGCTCTGGCTTGTGGGGCGCGCGGTCGTTTTTTGATGGGGTTAGAGGCTTAAAAGCACGTCGAATAGCCCGGAAAATACGGTACCTTCAGACTAAAACCAGCAGCTTCAGGAACAGTTTCTTCCCCACAGCTGTTTCCTTACTGAACTCTATCCCCTGGTGAATGTCCATGCCCCCCACCATGTCACCCCCCTCTTCATCTCCCCCACGGACACTGAATATACCCTGTCCAATCCCTCCATCTAAACTGCATATACATATCACTAATGCTGTTTATCTCTGCATATCATGTTTACATATTCATATCTGACATTTGACATCTGACATCACTTCACTTATTTATAACATTCTGTATTTATACTTTATCTATACTGTTTATATATATCTTTACATGCATATTTATATTTTCTATAGCCAGCCTGTATATTTGTTCATAGTATAAACTGTTTTCAATACATCTGCTGATATATCCCCCATGAATATTATATCTAATTTCCTCCTGTTCATGCTGCTGTATTTATTTGTATATATTCACTGCAATCTACACTGTAATATACTGTATATTGTCTAGGGATGTCCCGATCACGTTTTTTTGCCCCCAAGTCCGAGTCTGAGTCATTTGATTGACAATGAACTAAGAGCAAAGAATAAGATCCAGGATGTGTAGGAGGGTCAGATTGTATTGATTTCATGTGTAGTATTTGGGCTGAACTTAGTGTGAAAAATCAAATGTCCAAAACTTTAATTTTATTCACTTTTCTAACTATGAACCATCATTGTTGAAAATCTTGACTTTTCACAGTCTGGTCTTGGAATGTGTAACTTTGTAAACTTAATGAACTGGACAAAACAGGAACCAGATCAGACCCTGAGACTCGACTCTGCACAATCTACAGTTTGTATATTTGATGTCATATGGAAGCCTGTGCATTACATTTGAAACATTTAGGCTCGTCTATGAAATAAATAATACAAAATCTTACCAAAAAAAATAAAAATGAGATGACAGAAGCCCACAGCCTCTCTCCCCCGCAACGCCCCCACATCCACAAACCCACAGCGGAGTGTGCACCGCAACATCGGTCCCACCGCTTCACGTCACTTTTCCCACCCTCCCCGCCAAAAGAGCCAACTCCATTGCACAACATGCAAACAAACAGCACCGTGTGATGACGCCGTCGGCTGTGCAGGTGTGAACACAGGCCACAGAACCACAGGTAACAGCGCCCGAGCACGACACGACCCAAAAGTCCAAGCGTGAGTGCACCTCTAGTACAGCAGGCGCTGGGGCAGAGAGTCATACTAAGTGGACGTCCCTGAGCAAATCCTGCGCCTCAGTAAAAAACAACAACAACAAAAAAAGCTGTGTGCTGTTTGTCCTGTGTGTTATAGATGTATATTATTTATCCGATACGTGATCGGACCGTAACAGCCGAGTCCGGATCGAGCCCGCAGATCGGATCGGGACAACCCTAATATTGTCTATATTGTACATACTCCACATTCTGTATATATCGCACTTACTGCTCTTTGTACTTCTGATTAGATACTAAACCACATTTTGTTACCTTGTATTTATACATGTGTAATGACAATGAAGTTGAATCTAATCTAATCTAAATGCTTTTCTCCATGGAGATGTTATTGCTTTGTCTGGAATGTTTTACAGTATGGTATTCAACCTTTCTGTCATCACAGAAACCAAACCAGACCAGTTACAAGTTACATCTGTGGAGAGGCGACCCCACTCACAATCAGAATTCATGTTTTTCTCGGTATTTTTGAGCTATAAAATCTGCCGTGATTGAATAAATGCAAGGTAGAGCTGTTTAATGCCATACTGCGGAACATTCCATGGGGACAAACAGGTGACGGACCCTCCACCGGAAAGTTACACAGTGCACCTTTAATAGGGTAAAGCATTATAAGTGCTCAAGCAACTCAAATTTGATTCATTACCATTGTTAATTGCCAAGTTTAGCTTTAAGAGACCTTTAATTCCAAATAAACACATTTAATTCTGAATAAAAATTAATTCTGCTTTAAAAAGACCGTGCAAACACTTAATTCCTAATGAAAATTATTACTGATATTATTATTCTGAAGTAAGAGGGTGATTTATTCCAATTTTAAAGCCGAATAAATGTATCCCTCAATCATGTAAATGTTTATTCTTCTTAAAAATAATTCTGTTCGTTCAGCGCATGCTCGTTGGGTCGTCCTTTTGACGTGAGCCGGACTGCTCTTTGGATTTGCTCTTTGGATTTGCTCTTTGGATTTGCGAGTGGGATGCGGGAGTGGGCTGAGGTAGAGCAGCCGTCGACTCAGTTTGTCTTCTTCCTCCCTTCTCCTCCTCAGCCGACAGACGTAAAGCGTGATGACAGAATTCTCCAGCTGCTTGCTCGACTAAATTTCTTGCGACTGCGGAAATTAGTAGCTTGCCGGCATTTTCTTTTTGTAAAAATAGCTCACCAGAGGCAAAAGGTTGGAGAGCCCTGGCCTAAACCCTTTTACTCATGATCCACGGGGTTGTAGTCTATGTTGACTCAATAAAATGACCGAAAAAACTACTACTACTACTACTACATAGATAAAACACCACAGCGCAGTCCCATCTCTCTCTTCTCTCTTCATCCATGTTTCATTAATGACTCGACTGTAGCAGATAAAAGGCCCGTAAAATGAATCTCTCCATCACACGTGTACGGGAGTTTGTCGATGAAAGGAGCGTTGGACGACGCGCGCACGGAATAGCAGGAGGTTGTTTCATTTGCCATTCTTTGAAGATACTACCGGTTCACCCTTTGCCCCCGGGTCTCCTCCTGTACTTATGACCCAGATACGAGGAGGGGCGGGCGGCGCATCTGGCTGCATACGCTGAGTGATGTTCAAAGTTATAAGACTGGAGAGGAGGCAGTACTCGCTTGAAAATGTGTTGGAAATTGGTTAAGGGTCCTATAGTACACAGAATTAGGGGTGTGCAAAAATATCCAAATATCTATATATATCGTATCGTTTAATGTGATGATACAGTATCAATATCATGGGCTGCTGTATCCATATGTTGCCAAGTGGATTTTTTTTGGTATATTTTACTAAATTATTTTGTTACAGAGCTACAGTTTTGTTGCTTGTTTAGAAGAAGGAAACTTTTGTGGATTAAAATGTTTGTGTTTCAAATGAACTTTGGACAAGAAGTGGTTTAACAAAGATGTTTACGATAATTTTGCAATTATTATTTATTGAACTGGATTGAATCGATTTGAAATATATCATACTGAATCAAAAGTGCACTGTTTGAAGATATGTATCGTATCGGCAACTTCTTAATGATACCCAGAATACGCACATTTACGTCCGCTAATTATTTCTGCAAATGTATTCAGAGCATTAAACTTTTCACTTTTTTCATGTTTGATTTTATTCTAAATTCTATAGGCCGCAAATATTAGTCAGCGTTTTCACCTCCGCTTCCACCTATATCTGACCCACATACGATGCATCTGGCTGCATGAGATGATCTGTTTTCAAAGTTGTTGGAGTCAAAAGGCGGCGTGTGTATTGGTATGCGGCGGGGGAGCCTGCGGGCTGGAGATAATGGCGCTGTAGGAGAGGCTGTAGGCTCCATTTGGGTTTGAGTCCTGAGAGCGTGGACCTGGGAACTGTGGAGGTGCATGCCAATAACACAGGGAGGTTAGAGTTTGTACGGCTGGAGACAAGGAGAGGAGAGCCCATCTATATTCCACTGAGGAGACTCACACCTTCACGACGGAGGTGTAAGATAATACAGAGTCTAGTGGAGCATTTGTAGTGTTAATAAATAATACTGGAGAAATCCTAAGTCTTGTACTATGCATCATACCAGAATGATAACGCTTAAATCATGTACAGTACATAAGGAAACAAGTACAGTATTTTTCAGACTATTCGCACTATTACTCCTGTACCACTGTCATTTGGCTCCACATTTCTCCCACAGAAAGAGCCTCTGTCCTGGCTCTATCATGTCAGTGAATCGCACCATTACTTCTGTACCACTGAAAATGTGAAATTTAAATTACTTCAGTGACACCGAAACCATCCTGTCGGGATTCAGAAAGGCTGGAATAATTCTAACTGGACCTGAAGCTGAGTCTGACGACAGCGACACAGAAGAGGAAGAGGTGCTCTGTTTACCTCCGGAGGTCACAGAGTTGCTCAGAAGTGACACCGAGGATGAAGAATTCAATGGATTTAGTGATTTGGAGTGAGATGGAGAGTTTGTTAAACCTGTTCTGTTCTGTTGTTGATGTTATAGTTTATCTGAAGAACTGTTCATATGTGATGTTAACAGTCTGTTGTTCTCTCTTCTATTGTTATTACAATAACTTGACTTTTAAGATGAAATGTCGGTTCCTGGTCTCTGATTTTATAAATACATTTCCCCCAAAATGTGCGACTTATACTCCGGGGCGATTTATAGTCTGAGAAATACAGCAGGATTCTTACATAAAATGATGAAGTGTGAAGCAGTGTAAATGAGGTTAAGATTAATAACTGTCAGCTTCAAACCAATTTAGAGCAGAAATGATTAGACTGGGATTACCACTTAATGACATCACAGGGTGGGTAAAGACTCTGACCTCTGACTTTGACTGGAGAGATTTTATAATATAATCTGCTAACCTTTTGCAACTAAACGGGCAAAACGTGTTCTCAGAGAAGATTACCTCCTAAACAGGATTAAGTCCAGACACTAGAGGCAAAAACAGTTTTTTGTTTGGTCAGTTTAGTTTCTCAGCAGAGAAGCTTTCATGGGGAATAACAACACTGTCCACTCTGCACTAAAACATGTTTTAATATTTAATTTAATCACCTCCATAGAGGTGGACCTGTTATATGGATTGTAACTTCAATGGCCATTTTCTTCATTTCAAATTTTTCCCTCATAGAAAAACACACTAAGATTTTGACGAAACGTACTGAAGGATTTTTTAAATCTAAGTCCAAGTCTGACTTGTGTCATGCTCCATTTGGCAGAGCTGTGTCTCAAGTCTTTGACCTCAAGTCTGAGTCAAGTCCCAAGTCAAATACAGACAAGTCCAATTCGATTCTCGAATCATTGGCCCATAAGTCCAAACCAATCCAAGTCATCTGCTTTGAGCTTCAAGTCATTTCAAGTCTTTAAACCAAAGTACCAAATATACCTTAGATTTTTGCAATTTATATGAATTTTAAACTCAGTTGTACTTGGTCATGGTATATTTATATATGAGTATTTATATAAGAGTTGTAGAAATGCAAATTTTTCCTTTTTAAGTGTCTTGACAAGACCTAAGTGTGAATTATTCCGGTCAGAATAGAAAGAATTCAGATTTAAATGTGCTAAACATCAGTTATTTTGTCATGAAGGATCATGTTCTCTGTAGTTCCCTCTGTTTTACTGTATTGTACTGTGTTTTACTGTAGTACATTTGAGGATATCACATCACAGTACTTCAGTTACATCCAAAGTAACAAACAGAAGTGGGACATGTTCCAGTTTGTTCCTGTAAAATTCAGCACCGCATTTATCAACTGTAAAAGAAATATATTTTCTAAAAACATATTTTTAGGAGAAGCGTCAAGTCTTCTCAAGTCATAGGGCTCAAGTCCAAGTCAAGTCCCAAGTCTTAGTCCATTTTATCAAGTCAAGTCTCAAGTCCTAAAAACAGTGACTCAAGTTTAACTCCAAGTCATAACTTGCAAGTCCCCTCCTCTGCCATTTGTTACACTTTTGGTAAGTTGGAAACATTTTTACACACACTGAAATACAAATTTATATAAAAACATGACAAATTTTTTTTTAAGATATTGAGTTCTTACATTTACACGTACTACACAGTTTCAAAATGATATCTCTAAATTTCTTTTCATATTCACCAGGAATGTCTCGCCTTCGAAATAAGTGCGAAAGATGGAAAAATACGACTCGAGGTGTTTTTCACGAGGAGACAACAGCGGAACACGGTTAAAAGCTTGAGAAAGTCCATTCTGTGTCTTTTAAAACCCAGGAAACTGAACTTTCCATTAGCACTCACTCTCACAGACAAGTACAATGCAATGAATAGACGCAGAATAACTTAAGTGTCTTGCCCAAGGACACAGCGACAGCAGAGACGAAACTGCCAAGCTCGAGTGTACGTACATCTCCCCCCCCCGCTTACACTACAAGCCATATCTCAGGTTCAGACAAACACTACAGCCTTAATTTCCTCTCTCGCTCTCAGCCTTGGCCTAATCCCTGCCTCTCTCCTCAGTTTACCGTCGGCTAACACAACATTAGCGGTTTCCATGGCGACGCGGGCTGTTGACGCTCGGCCAAACAGTGAGTGACAGGCTGCTGAGTGCGCCCCATTGTTGTGTGGCGGGACGCATGTGTCTGGGCTGGCTGTGGCGTCAGTGGGATTCAGACAGCGTTAGTATTACTTCTTTTTTTTTTTTACATTTTTGTTAAGTTAATTAAAATGCACCTCGTTACGGTTGATTGAATTCCTTTATTTAGACTTACGTTTCGTGATTTGGACGCACATATTTTGGTTTAGTTAGTCTAGTTTCATCGATCACCTGCTTGTTTCCATGGAGATGTTATCCGTTTTATGTTGTTTGTGATGTTTATCCATTACGGGTGTTTCTATTGCTCAAAAATACAACAGTTCTCTCAGTGAACAGGCCTTGCCTTTACACAGATCTGACCTGTAATGCAGCCTATAGTTGTCTCCCGTGATATCGACAGGTTGTGGAACATTCTAGACAAAGCAATAACATCTCCACGGAGAAAGGATATAAGTCTGAATTATTTAGTTACACTTGTTTCTTTTCGAGCTGCCAGACGAGTTTAGGAGGAGGACTTGGCAAAGATCACCTTTACCAGTCCAAGGGGGAGCACTATTTAGTTTCATTTTTGCTAATTTAGTTTGTCTAGTTGCATAACGTCACTTTATTATCACGGTTATTATTTTCTGTATAATAATTATTTGACTTATTGTTACTTATATTAAAGATCGCCACACACTACAGGAGAATTTGCCCGATTTAGGCTGCGATTTGCTTCTACCCAATTTCGGGGAGGCATGAACTATATTTTTTATCGTCGTGTGCGATTTTGAAGCTGCTGCGCTCCTCGTGTGTGTGTGTGGTATCAGTGTGACTCTGAGCTACTTTGTCAGATCGTAACCACTAAACATCAGCAATGTGACCGTAACAGCCGATAAAACAGAGCGTCAGGGCCAGACGGAGTGACGGACACAGAGGAGCAAGATACAAACTCAGGAAATAGTGAAAATAATTATTACTCTCGTAAAATTGTAAATATAAACTGCAGGATCTCATCCTTATCATCCATAGAATTTGTCCTCTGCAAATAATGACACCCAGACCAGAAAACAGCACTATTAATCCAGTTTGAAGCATTCTTTAAAAGTAAAAAGGCCGGAGTAGTTCCTCAAGTGTGTTTGTTTACATCCACACAGCGCTTGGATCGAGGTGAAGCTGGAGATTAGAGATCGAGACTCTACTTCCTGTGGACTTTATCGCCAACCTTCTGTGCGTTAAAAATCATGTATCTGAAGTATTGCACCTCATTTCACAAATAACACCAACATAGTTTTGACTTGTATCGAAACTAGAAGTGCAGTGCTTTGATCTTTCGAACACTTAAGAGTCTAGTTTTTGCAAAAGGAGAATTAAAATATCATATTATTCCCTTTGTGTGTGGCATGCATTTTTGTTGCGTGTTTAAAAATCCTTTTAAGACCGAAAAATCCTGTAGTGTGTGGCGTCCTTTAGTTAGTAGTTTTAGTTTATCCTTTAGTGTAATTCCTCTTTCTTGTGTCTAGTTTTAGTTAGTCCTCCACTATTTAAACACCCCAGTTCCTTTGTCTTGTTGGATTAGTTTTTTTCTGTTCAGTTTGGTTAAGTTACCCCCGTTGGGCTCAGCTTTTTGTTAAATATTATTTGCCAGATTTAGAGCTTTTGTTGACTTTATTAAATGTAAACTTTTTTTTTTCTAGTTGGTCCACTGCACATACCCTCTGCAGACACCGGGTTGGTCCTCCTCGAGTGCACCGTCACGCTGCCCGAGCTGGAGAGGTCTGTGCCCGTCCTCCACACCTGCAGCTCCAAGAAACCAGCGCTCTCATCCACGTGGTAGTCCGTGTTGCCCAGGTAGAAGATCGGAGCTGGAAGACAAAGAAAATTAGGTCAGATTCTACTTTACTGACATTAAATTACAAGCACAGTGCAACGAAATGCAGTTTAAAGATGCCATGTTACGCAAAATTGACTCTTGTGAGATTGGAGTTGTGTTTTGTTTCATTCACACATGTTTATTATGAGTCTGTCTACATCTCCAAAACTTAAAATGCTGTTCCACCCTGTGATGTCATGAAGCAGCAGTTTCAAGTTAACAGCTCGAGATTGGAAATTCCAGGACTCAAAACTTTCCAAAAGATTCTAGTGAAGGCGTATGGAGTGTTTTCTATTCATGAGAAGCCTAAATATGAAGGATCTGTGTGTCAAAAAATGTGTGAATGAAACAAAACACAACTCCAGGTCAGTTTTTTATGAGAAAACAACATTTGAACATAGATCAGAAATTAGCGTAATATGGGCCCTTTAACATCTAATCCGGAGTGCAATGAGAAAAGCAAACAAACATAGAAACACCCATTTTCCAAGTCAAGATGTTGGTTAGGAGTACCAAGCTGCATGGGAAAAAACGCCAAAAAATAGACAAAAATAACTTGCGTTCTTCTCACAAACATGACTCTTTGGGCTAGAATTCCACTGAATGCAATAAAATGTAATTATGTCCATGAAAAATGTAATTTCTAGTCAAGTTTTGACAAATTCTTAAATTCTCTCAATGATCCAACATCAATCTAGCCTGATTCATCAGCCGGTTTTACTTCGTGGAAACCGTCTGACCTCGCAGTATTAGGATTTGTTCGCTCGACAGTAGGCAGGTACTTTTTTTATTTAACCAATCGCTGCTATTTGGTCGTGACGTATGTAATGCGCCAAATCCTGTAGGAAGAAGGACAATAACATCTTTCCCCTTGATAAAATTCACCAAACCGGCTTTAAATCCTCGATCTTGGGAATCTACATCCATCTCGTCCGCTTTGTTTACTGTTGTGCTGTACCACAAAATGGACCCAGACAGACGCTTGAGTTTGACGTCATGGCTTCACAGCTCTTCACTGATTGGCCGGTGTGCGGTCTACAACTTCCGGGGTTCTTGCAAAACATCGAGTGTATTCCGATTCCTGACCTAGTCACTGGAGAGAAATGAAACTGAGCGGAGGCACTAGCAGTCAATCAATAAACTGTAGAACTCTTTACAACACTCAAGGTGACCAAAGGGCTTCACATTAAAATCAACATAAACCCAATTCAGGAGGAGGTCTGAGGTTCAACAAAGATTTAGTTCGGGTTCTCCTGCTAGAGTTGAACCCATCCAAAACATTAAAACAAGAAATTTTGGTGAAATAAGTTCCATCAGCTATTCCAGAGATCTTAAATCATGATTCCTAATTCATTGCTGTGCCTTGTTGCGGTGTAATTGAGTGTAGCAGAGTGGTAAACGCTACAAGAATGCTCTGTGTATTTACAGTAAGTGCCATGTGTAATGGGCACGTTTTGCCCCGAGATTAGCGCTGATTACAGGAAGAAATGAGAAGATGGTTCAAGCCGAGCGGCAGCAGCTTGTCAACGCCGTAATTATGGCTTTCAGCAGCACTTTCCAACTTCCTCTTACAGATCAGCAGACCAGTGAGATGTGTATGTGAAAACCTGCTTGTACGAATGTGCCCAAAAGATCTCTGCTTTAATGGGCCCATATTACTCTGTTTTTGAGTTATGTTATAAGATGGCAGTGGAGTGGTTGGCTGCTTTTGTTGCTGTCTGACTCACACGCGGAGCAGATTTTGAAACTTCCTGTTTTTTGAGCTCAGCTTTTAACATCATATCATGGGATTTTAAACAACTAAAGAGGTGCAGCATGTGCAAGACAAAGAACACAAGTAATATGCTGTATTTTTTAGACTATAAGCCACACTTTTTTCATGGTTTGGGTGTTTCCTGCGACTTATATATTAAAATTTTCACACTGACAGTCACGAGAGGCTCTAGTCTTGTGTGTCAGTATCTGCTGCTCCTGTTCCTCCTGTACCACTGTCACTTCACTTTACTGCGCATGTCTCCTGCAGAAAGAGCCTCTGTCCTGTCTGCATCATGTCAATCGATGGCACCATTACTTCTGTACCACTGAAATTTTTTAATTTAAACAAACTTATACAGATAACTGAGAAGACTGAACACAAATGCTCCCAAAAAGAAAATCGTATTTTGCAGATTGCAAACTGCAAGTAGCAAAACATTCAGCTGAAATTGGTAATCGAGCAGCAGAAAGAAAGTTTGGAGTGAGGGAGAAACTTGTGACAACTGGGAAGGTGCGCCATGTAACTTTCCCAGAAGTCACTGGATGGATCAACAAAGCCTGGACTTCAGTGACACCAAAACCATCCTGTCAGGATTCAGAAAGGCTGGAATAATTCTAAATGGAACGTAGAAGACGAAGTGGTGCTTAGTTTACCTCCAGAGGTCACAGAGCTGTTCAGAAGTAAATTCAATGGATTTATTGATTTGGAGTGAGAGTTTGGTAAACTTACAAGCAAGTAAAAAACCCTCCAATAGAAAAGTGACACCTTGCATCATTAAAGGTCCTATATTGCGCAAAATTTACTCTTATGAGCTTTAAGCCATGTTATAATGTATTTTTCAGACTATAAGGCGCACCAGATTATAAGGCGCATTAAGCGAAACAAACAGACGACACTTGAGACTGATCCTTAGCCCAGGCGTCCACGATCCATCGGCAGATCGTGGTGTAATTCGCCTGGTGTTGCCTCCCTGTCTTGGTGAATGTGTGTTATAAATGTGAATGTGTGTGGATCATTTAAGTTTTTTAAAAAATGTGTATTTCTTACAAGGACGACTTAAACATACATCGAGTAATAATGTGTTTAATGCAGCTTTGCACACATTTGTTTATGTTTTACAGAAGTGACTATAAGCACTGAAAAAAACAGCTCGCTCCTTGTGCGCAGATGTAGTCAACTTCTGTTAGACTAAAAGACACGACTCTGCAAGGCTCTTGACTACAGCAGTCGTAATGTTCCGACAATCCATCAAGTGTTGCGGCTTCGTAGTTTACCGAAGTCGCACTAAAACATTTTGACAGATTTTTGAGCGCCCTGTACCACATAAAATCGGTTCGAAGTCAGTAAGCACAACCAGAATTAATACATAAGGCGTGCCGGATTATAAGGCGCACTGTCGATTTTTGAGAAAATTTAAGCATTTTAAGTGCGCCTTATAGTCTGAAAAATACGTGCGATGTCATGTAGTGGTAATTTTCAAGTCAACAGCTCATTTTTACTTTTAGATCAGTGGAGATCGGCAATTCCAGGTCTGAAATTATTGTTATAGTGAAGGGGTTTAAAATCAAAGGGGAGCGCTTCCTGTATTACCACATGACATCACAAGGTGGAGCAGAGTGTTTTGCGTCTGTGTGTTAAACATGTGTGAATGAAACAAAACAAAACTCCAGGTGTGTTTGTGACGAGGAAACAACAGTAGAACAAGACCTGTCACATTTATCTATAATAGTTATCTCTCCACTTCCTGCGCAGGAGTCTCTATGGGGGTTTACTGTATGTGTGGATCTGGTGCAAAACAATGGCAGGGGGGCACAGCTGGGTTTGTTATTACAGCGATGGAGGGAGCGATGTGATTTTGATAGCCGAGCGCAGAGAGGAGACGATCAGGCTGACGGCTGGGCTGACAGGAGGTCCGGGGGTTATGGAGAGACCGGTGCCAGCCTGGACCTGCCTCCGTGCAATTAGTCTGTGGATTCCAGCGCACACAAACCCTCCCGCTGTTTTCCTTTACTTAACCCTTTCCTGGGCGCTCCCCTGCACAGCCTAGAGCATTTGAACTATTTCTGAACACCTCACTGGGGTTTGAAGGTCCATTATTATGCAAAATTGACTTCTGTGAGCTTCAAGACATTCGTGTTACCTCATGAAAAACAGACCTGGAGTTGTGCTTTGTGTTTATATAATCCTTTGTTATTAGTCTGTCTATATCACCAAAGCTCAAAATGCTCTGATCCACCCTGTGATGTCATGTAGTGGTAGTTTTCAAGCTTTCTTGGACTCTAAGGCGCACTTAAAATCCGTTAATTTTCTCAAAAATCAACAGTGAGGCTTATAATCCGGCGCGCCTTATGTATTAATTCTGGTTGTGTTTACTGACCTCAAACCGATTTTATGTGGTACACGGCACTCAAAAATCTGCCAGAATGTTTTAGTACGACTTTGGTAAACTACTAAGCCGCACAGCTTGATGGATTGTCGGAGCATTACAGCGACAGTAGTCAGGAGCCTCGTAAAGGGCGAAGAATAGTTCTGCTTTGACAAAACTGAACAAAGACAAGTGGATGTGGAGCTGTGTCCTGTCACTTTCTGATTTCAGAGGGAGTGATTGACAGGCGGATTGACCAATCAGAGAGAAACATGGCTGCTTATAAGTAAGTAAGTAAGTTTTTATTTATACAGCACTTTTCACAGACATATGTCACAAAGACACTTTACAGAGCATTATTCATTCACTCCACTCCACCCGGTGATGGTAAACTACTAGTGTAGCCACAGCTGTACAGGGGCAGACTGACTGAAGTGTGGCTGCCAATCGGTGCCACCATTACTCACACACTACTTTCATACTAGGCAATGTGGGTGAAGTGTCTTGCTTATGGACACAACAGCAGTTTTTGTGACTGGTGTCCCACTGTGGCACCTGATTTTCTCAGTGGTCTCTCATCCAAGTACTGACCAGGCCCAGTCTTGCTTATATGTAAAAAGGGAAAAACAACATAAAGGACTGGGAAATAACTGAATCAACAATCGAAGCACCAGACTATTATTTCTCTCAGGGAAGTTATATGTTTTGTTATAAGAGAAGTTATATGTTTTGTTATAAGAGAAGTTATATGTTTTGTTATAAGAGAAGTTATATGTTTTGTTCTGAATGAATGAAATTTTCAAGAGGAAATGTCTTACACATTTGAAAGACACGTGATACAAATCAGTGGCTGTGGTCAAACCATCCTATG